GAGTGGAGGAGCACTCCGTAGATGAGGGACACAACACCGCCGATGTGTGTCATCTGAAACGTGAGCATCAGTTGTGTGTCGTCGTCGGCGAGACGGGCGCCGAACCTGTGCTCCACTCGAAGTGCCATCAGTTTGGAGAGTGAGCTGAAGAGGGAGACAACACTTCGCAAGCATTGGGTCAGCTCCGGGTTGTCGTCGACCGGTCCCCGAGTGTTGGCCATCATTAGCGACAGCTTATCAATCATTCCGACCGATACTATATAACTGTTGATATAATAATAGACATTAGTTATCTTATAGCCGATTCAGTAATTGATTGTCGGACACAATACCTGATCACGTCTTGAATGATGTGATTGAAGGCCAGACTATCGTCGGTACTGTCGGTGAGCGTCGAGTAGTGGCCGTGAAGTGTGTCAAAAATGGTGGACAGGAGTCGACACAGGGCTCCGACCACTATATCGCACGTCGGGGCTGCGGTATTCATGAGAGTCGTGTCCAATAACTATGGATTAAAAAAACAAAACATATGGTATAAAACAGAACTAAGACATAGAAAATCGGGCAATACATTGATCCGATGGCAGAGAATGTCCAACAAATCGATCACGTGTTGGGATTGCAGGACATAGTCGGCCACATCCAAGTGCTGACCGCAAACCAGTTCGTAAAGTGCGGCCAACTTTTGGTTGGACCGGTCGGTGAGCGATGTGGGCCTCTCTCGGGTGCCGTTCATTATTCGGGACAATATTTTGGTCAACAATTGAACGCCATTTAGCGAATGAAAGTACAGGGAATCGGCGGCACCGGTGCCACCACTAGACGGACGGCCACTGTTGTTACGGAACAGTTTCTCCAACTCATTGAGATTACGCTCCAGACTGTGAGTCATGTTTGTCGGCCAGTGGCCAGTGATTTGGGTGTCGGCGCTCAGCGCTGACAAGTCCTGCGAAAACAATACAAAACCATACAATGAATGACCACAACAAACACTGGAACCGCTATCTAAACATGTATACAAACCTTAAACAATTTGGTAATTTTACTCTTATTGGGCGTCTGTATTGTCTTTCCGGTGACCACTTTAGGGCCCGAATTGGTCTCGAATTGTGCCGCTTTGGCCGCCAGCCGTTGCTTCAACTTCTTGCTCCGCTTACGGGCCGCCCGGAGCCGCTCGTTATCGCACGACTGAATCGCCGACTTCTTGTCGGCCGAGTCTACCGGCGCTTCCACTATGTATTTGATGTTGAAATTCTCCAACTCTTCATTTGACGGCACTTTACCGCCATTTTGCTCAGCGATGGCCGCGTTGTGTCGTTTTCCTAATCATTATTATCATTGAAATTAGGGTTAAAACACAAATCAATTGACAACAA